TGATAGTAATATGTTCTACGTGTGTTCATCGGTCAGTGGGTGCGACTCCAGACAATGTCTTTTGCTAAGTCTGAAGTTCTTGCTTGCCAGGAAAATACTGTTGTCTGAGCACAGTTGAAGCAAGCAATCATCGTTACCTCTTCATTCAGATGGGATTCGGAAAGTGCCACTTCACTGATTTCTTGTATGTTTTATCCTACCCACTTGTGCTCTGAAATCACAGTAACAACAACAACGTCTGAACGCTCAGCTTTCATCAACAGGCTAGACTTTATCTGGTAGAACTCATCTTTTATCGCATCTAAACTCTAATCACGTGGTGCCGAGACTACAAAGAGAGCGGCGATTTCTACTGTCCTTTTTAGTCTTCACTACACCTTACTGGAGCAGAAAGTATGAGTGACTTTCGACTAGGATGCAGGCGATCGGCAAGCTTTCTGTCTTACGAATTAATGCTATACCCACACCTACAAGACCGTGAGAATCAGACACTACATCCTCATAAACTCTCAGGGTGGATTTAGAAGATTCACCATATTGGCCAGGTGAAGTTAAGTGAATTATCTTATGGGTTCTGTATGCGTATCTAACAAACAAAGCAAACTTCCATGGCTTGAGATGCCAGAGTTCTGCCCAATGAAGCTTGTCCACAGGTTTGATGGAGAGTACGGGCATAGACAGCTCTAATACAAAGTTTGGAGTGCGGTTCCAGGAGACTAGGTGTGCTGTTCCCTGAACTGAAATCGTTATCAACAGCTGCAGAGCTTAAAGAAATTAGAGATGGTGACTAAGAGACGTGAAGAAAGATTGAAAGAAAAAGATGTGGAAAGTTGATAATAGTCTAAGGAAACTTGAGTGTTGTGTGTTGTGAGGGCGGTTGACAATCCCCGGCTCCCCACACCGTGGAATGCAGTGCCCAAGTTTTACTATTACACTGATGAAAATTTATCAACTAACTTACCTCTTTTACCAAACCTCACACAGAAATGCATTAATTGACGTGTATACAGTCTGCGTTGAGGTAAGGAGGAGGCTAACCATGCAGCTCATTGACTGAGGCATTCGAATTTCAAGAAATGGGTTCCGAGTTTAAATCCTACTTCAGCAATTTCGACCTGAGCAACCGAGTAGTATCATAAACCACCATCAACGAGTTAACACATCTGCGCCGATATAATCAATCCTCAGACATTTCACCAACAGTATCCAACCACCGATTCCTAACATCTTGGAGACACCAACTAAGTTATATCTCTTTACATGGCTCGGACCAACGGTAATAATCTTCACGCATTGTCTTAGTTTATCCATCCTGAACCCTCTTCCAACTTAATATAACTTCACCTACTACATCGCGTCGAGGTAGGCATGCACAGTATATTGTTCAAGCCACCTTCGTCGCTCAAGTTTCACTACTTCATCGACCAACCTGCTTGTCTTGCCTAGTACTCTTAGTCTTACCCCGCCATTGATCACATAGTGATTCCACCATACCTGAGCAATGCTACAAAGACACTTATGATCGAAAAATTGTAACCGCTACATATCTTAAATTTTACAAATGCATGCCAAACATACTATGATTTCTTGCTCAACGTTTTTAGAAGAACCTCCATCTTGTCAGCGTCCGTAACCCTTTCTATCCTTACTAAAAAATAGTTGTCAGACTAGAAATTAATGAAAAGATAGCAACAGACAACAAAATGTAGAAATAACTCAATTTGTGTAAAATTCCCCAAAATTTATATTTGTTTTGTTTTTTTGGTTCTGTAGAGGTAATTGTACACATAGACAAACACAGACACGCAGACACATTACATGCAATTACAAACATGTGTATGTGAGTGGTTCGAAAGAAAACTAGAGTTTACTGTCACTAATTATTATTATTGTTCCAAGCAGGCAGTGGTATTAGGCAGGGTTAACAAAGGTGTTGAAGATGAAGTTATACAACATTACATTCAAATAAAAAATATGCTCACAGTATCTTCCATTCGACTTAATGAAATAAAACCAGAGAGACAGAGAGAACAAAGAAATAATACAGTAAACCGAACTTTTGATAAATCGGTAACAGAAGAAATGAAGAGAAAAAAGAGCACATAAGATGCAACCATTTCATTAAATTAATACTTCAAAATCCCACAAATAAAAGGCATAGAAAATAATGATCAACAATATATAACTTTGGCTATTATCAAAGGAACAGCAGTTGTCACAGTGAAATCGTATAATTGGCAGATGACTAGAGATGATAAGGATGAAATGAAGAAATTTAAACTAAGCAGATCAGACTTTTTTTTCAAGGAGTTCGGAAGTGGCAGGTGCATGAGGAGAAAGAGTGACGTGGATAATGACAGAATAAAAACTAAGGGGGATAGAGGAAACTATAATTCTCTGAAATATACCACAAAATAGCAAACTTAATCATGAAGATTACAAGCACTATTCATCAATCATGCTTCTGTCTTCCATTGAAGCAGTGCATACATACTGGAGTATAGTGATACTGCTTCTACAATGACAACAGTGTGTCAACATTAGAAAAACAAACAAGTATGAATTCATACTGGTTATCAACGTAAAAATACACAATACAATCTGACGACATAAAACAACATACAAACGGGTCATATTTATTGGGATGATGACGATAATAATAGCAATAATAATAACAGTAATAATAGTGTTGGTCATATCTCCATCGAAAGCCGAGAGAAAGAGAGTGGGGGAAGTTGATAGAAATCCAAATACCTTGATCACTTGCTGAAAGTCTTCAGTTTGCTTACTTTGACTGGGTTGTGCTTATCTAACCTATTGTTAGTAATAACTCAACTAATAACTCAACTCACAGCAAGACAAGACGACGGTGATACGTATAATAATAACAAGAATATTTGGCAACTGATTAATCCATTCATTCATTAATGACAAGTTGAAGGTTGAACCTAATTAACTAATAAATGAGCAGAAATATAACTTGAGTATATAAATCCCAGTATAGAATTTCATTATATTTATATACTGTAGAATAATTGAAGAAGAGTAAAATTAGAGAATTTTACAGGCAACCGTAAATGACCGGTAGGCGTACAACACTAATGCAGAGATACTTCATATATATATATATATATATATATATATATATATATGTATATATATATATGTATATATATATATATATATATATATATATATATATATATATGATCCAATTCTGAGGAGGTAGTAAAAAGATGATAATGTCATGGTGACTTACCACCTTCCCTCAGATAAGTTGAACACCATAAACAGGGTATCGATTGAAAAATTAATAGACAACAAGATCAACAGTAAATAAAGTGAAACTGTACACTAAAGAGAATAAAACACTTTAAACAGAGAAAACGATAACCTGAACATTCATTCATACTGGTTTACACACAAATATATACCCAGTATATTATGCATAGCAGAATACTCTGATGAATCGAAGTACAAATCGTAGTATATAGAAAAGGAATACAGAAGATAAATTCATGATTATTAACATGTTCTGTTTTCTCCATCGCCTCCACCTCTTCCTCAGAGTGAAAAAAATAAGTTAGAGAAGAATATTCAAAAGAGAGCGAACTGAACAATTAAAGAAAATTACCACGTTTGTTTGTTTTATTCTTTTCTGATGAAATAAAACTAATCTTCACAATGTAAAAGAGAGAGAGATGAGGAGGATAGACGGGACAGAAGCACGCGAAACCAGTCATCCGTACAATATATATATATATATATATATATATATATATATATATATATATATATATATATATATATATATAAACCTTGACTAATACTCGTTTTACCCGATGGCGAGTGACGCCTCCATCATACCGAAACCAGAGTATATGTAGGAGGGGAGAAGAGAGAGAAAGGAAACGATTAGAAAAAGTGGCAACTATATCGACACAAGTGGAAGTGTAATGAAACAAAGAGTACTCAACAAATAAAAGTGTAGTTTCTCAAAAAAAAAATAACAACAAGACAACGGAGAACAACTAAAAACTGTTTTAATAGCCAATGTTAAAATATACATTTTAATTCTTTGGTGAACAGATTGTACTTGTTTATAGTGAACAAATAGATGAAATTTCAAACATTATCCAGTACTGCCCCAAAATCATCATCACAAATCTTTTCACCTAGATAGTCGATTTCATGTAAAGGGAATTAAAAGTAGGAGAAAGTAGGAGACAAAAAGACATAGAAACAAGTTTCCTGTGTGTGTGTGTGTGTTTTAACCCAAAATGATAACGGGACAAAGAAATATGTCAACAATGTTTTGTAATGACCTAATGCCAGAGAAAATGAAACAGAGGAAAAGTAGAATCTCTATCGACTTATTCAAAACTTCACTTTCACACAAAGAACAGCGATATTCCCAATAAAGGGATGAAGATGAAGAGAGAGAGAGAGAGAGAGAGAGAGAGGAACATACTTGTTTATGTTTTGTTTAGAAAAAGAAAGGCTTGTAGTGTTGATCAGGGTCTTTGTTCAACTGTTACGTTTTTATTCTTTTTCTCAGATCCAAATACACAGAATTAATCCATGAGGTTATATGCCTCTCTACACAGTTTCTAGCCTTCACCCACATTTTCCCATCATAAACTTATATGTATGCACGTCTACACTATTTGTATTATCATCAGAGTGGGAAGGCGGCAGCGGGGGAAAGATGTCATATTCTCTTTACAATAAACTTTGAAAAAAGTAATATGTATACACATATGTTGTATAATAATATCATGGGATAAGGATACTAAGAGAGAAAAGATTTATATGAGATAAACATCAATGAGGTAAGATATATGTATATATTTGTATAAGTCATATACAGCATAACAATGGACAAGCAATATCACCCAAAATAAGGAAATAAGAACAAATAAAATAAAAAAGGAAAGGAAAGGAAACAAAGTACTACACACAATACATACATAGAGACAGACAAACAGACAGATATATGTTTACTTAGTAGCTGTAGACGATGAACTGGATCCAGCTATAGGTGATGGAATGGAAGCATTTAGAATTTTACTAGACGTTATTCTACCACTGGATGAAGGACTATGAATATCACCTTTAAGAGATTTATTTAAATCTGATAAATTAGTCGATTGATTGAGTTCACTTGAATGACGATTTAAATCGATTTTATCATCGTCATCATCATCATCTGATGAGCGTTCTTCACAAATAGATGGTGGTTTTGGCATTGATTTTTGTGAACCAATTGAAAGCATTAGATTATTATCCACTTCAACAGTTTGATCATTATCTCCAGTAATATGTGAATCAGAATTTTTCTTTCTACTTCACTTGAAGTATTCGATGTATACGGCCAACATCGTTTGGAATTCATGTCTAAATGTGGTGGCATTCTTTCATTGACTTTATCAAATGCTTTAGCTTCTTCGAAGCACTGAATCTTATGCGGTGTCCATGTTCCAGAGACAGCTAAAAAGATACAACCACAAAGAAGAAAAACAATGCGAATATACGATAGTATTTGTAGTATTCAAATTATCTGACAGAAAATATATTCACTTCATTATTGCCACCATCAGTAATAATTTCAAACTGTTAGTTGGTTCCAATACACTGATAATTTTACGTTGGTACTCATCATCGACTGCCTGATATCAGTTGGAGAAATAATAGAAACCTGAAAGCACTGGACGGCTAAAACTGATAGAAGTAGGAAACTTTGAACCACCGAATTCTCACCAAGTCCCCTCCAATGGTGATGTGATGGCCAAGAAAGTTGAAGGTCCTGAGTCTAATCCATAGAGAGGCGAGGTTATGGATGCATACTGCTGAGGAGTCCCATACTAGGATGAAACAACTACCCAGTACCTCCACATTTCAAATGTTCCTCCAAGTGATGTCAGTCAGACCATGATAAGTACCAAGCTGAAATAAATGGGGAGTTATATTTATCAGTTGGACTATCTAAGGCAAAATTGAAGAAGGTAAAAGACTAACGAAAGAGCAGTTTAGTCACTCTTTACTTCACAATGATGACAAACAGTATTGCAAAAGACATTTCTAAATTCACTATCAGACAATAACTGTGTTAGGGAATGGAGTATGAAACATTGTTATTCTTACATAGGAAGCTTACAGAAACTACATACATCATCGGCTGTGCTCCATAGTAAAGATAGTTAAGATGCTGGGTGGTTATTGAAGGTAAAATGAGAATTTGGACAGCGATCACTGGGTTTCCTGCCAAGTTCTCTATCAACTGAGCTACAAGACCCAACTCCCGACCAGCTTGTTTTTTCACTTCACTTGTTGTGAATTCGAGACTTGTTATTACCACTTGATTGTACTCATGCTGGCTTCCCAGTCAGGATTCCTCACCCAAATCCAAATCTACCCTCAGCAATTGAAGTGAAGTAAGAATCTAGTCGGTAGTTAGGTCTCGTAGATAGGTTTGTAGAGCACCAGAGCAGACACTCCAAGATAGCTGATTCATTTCACCTTCAATCTGCCAAACCACGGCACTCAGATAGTCAAAAGACAAGACAGTTTCTCCTATGAATACAAATAAAATCAATTGAGAAAAGCAAAAGGAAGGTTAATAAACTTGTAGGTGATTGATTCGGCTTTAAAAACCAGAGACTATGCTATACTAGGGTCAGTTGAATAAAGCAAAGATATTTCGGACAGTGTAACCATTAAAAGAAATCACTATCTTCTGACTGAAATAATAACACATTACCACTTTACGCTGTTATAACACAATATCCGAAGGATGTAAATACTACTCCTGTATGAGTCCGATACGCTGTTGGAAACCTTTATTTGTTATTGATGAAACTTATACACCTGACTATAATCTATCCATTTGTAAATTATCTTCTGAATGATATTACGCCCACGTTTTATGCTATGTCTTGCCATTCTATATTGTATGCTTCTTTCACCTGATTCCTCAACCCACTATCGTTATCATTTTCCAAGTTGCTATTTATACTACTCAAGTCCATTCTTATAAGTAGCTTTCAATTCATGATTAATAATACTACTTTTTTGCTAAAGTAAACAAGTAGACGAAAAAGTAACACCATCAATAGGGATTAGAATCGGTTGATAGGCTTTCTGTAAAACAGTAAATTAATGGTAGCAAGCATATGATGAAAGATAAGTTAACTTTTAAAGCAAATCGACCAGAAATAGCAACATTTCATGCATAGCATAAATAATCTATGTAACTAACTATGCCTGTATATATTTTTCAGTATACAGTAGTATATTCTCATCTGTCAAACGAATATGTGTTGAATGAACAAAAACCAATGCATTTTTGTTTTCATTTTTATTAAAATCAATCCTACTTTTTTTTTTTGTTCCCCATCATTTCACCACATCAAGAGACAAAAACTTTCCTGTCTGAATGGAATAAAACTATAATTACAGTCAATTTTACAGGGAAGAAAAAAAAACCCAATTTATTTGTACAAAAAGTGAATCGATATGATCTCCTCCCTTCGTATAATTCTCATTATTATTGTTATGATTATTAGGCATATACAACATCAACGGACTGCTCATCTGTTCGCATATACGTTAAGATAATAATGTCAGACTTGTCAAACTTAAACACAATTCTAGGTTGGTATTCATAATGGATCGATATCAGTTGGAGAACCAGTGGAAACCTGTTTCGTCCTAGTACACGACTCCTCAGTAGTGTGAAACTACAACTGTGTCAGAGGTAGAACCGAGAACCTTCAGGTCTTGTGGTAAACATGTTACTATTGAGCCATAGAGTGAGAACTGAATGGCCTATATTTGCCTACTTTCGTCAATTTGCGATATACCTGCATCATTGGGAATTTATCCCTACAGGTCAAGAATTGTCATCTTGACATCTGTCATTAGTGAATGCTAGAGAGTAAGTATTTCAGTTTCAAATTGAATACAGATTTGAGCAACTTTAGGATGGTAATCATCACAAATCGACATCAAATTTATAAATAGATTGAGAATGAAACTGTTTCCAGCCATACAAGTGTTTTCCAATCAATCAGATGATGATTGTAAAACAACATGAAGGAAAGAATTCAGCTGACAGAGATTAGATTACTCACCATATTATTTATGATTACAAAGAAACTCAATCATGAGATATACACAACTACTATACTTGTAGGTAGATATGTAAACATGAAACCAATAACCTACATCCAAGCAATATGATACCGTATTCAGATAATCAATCATTACCTGTTATCAGTTACCACCCAACGTCAGCTGGGAGTTAATAAAACGGTGAAAAATTAATTGACAATTTACTTAAGGTCAATTTGATCAACTGAATGCAAAATAAAGTAAATGAATACATCAGTTTAAAGATGCTTTCTACATACTTGCATACGGTGATAAAATAACAACGGCTTACACCATGGAAGTATATAAACGTTAGTAATATATTAGTTTGTGATTTGGATTAACTGAATGTCAATATCACTCTCCCAAAAAATCTATGCAGAGAAGTAAATAACTTAAGACTAAACAGTAACACTTAGTCTTAGATTTCTCTGATTTTCAACGCATATGATTGAATAATATCCCAAAAAACATTTGTCACTTAAACCATCTTCGAGTTTGTTAGCATTATAAAGTAGCACAATTTCTTATGAAAGTTTGCCTCTTACAGAAATCCGTTTATCTTTAAACAATACGAAGTGTAATATGTTTGCATAATTGTAAAATGGTAGTGAATATTTATAGCTTAAGTGGATGATCTACTTTGTATGTTGCATTCTCTGAACTGAATGATTTAATCAACACTTCCAACGATACAAGTTCACAATAGACAGGAAGTCAAACAAGTAATTACCATTCCTGAATGTTTTAGTCAGTAGGGTAAATGCCAGAAAACTAGGAACCCAAGTGTATAGGAAGCCAACACACGCTAACTAATCAAATCCTCAACTACAGTACCAACAACCCACAAAACAGCGAAAACACATTGCAGTACAACAACTTCACAGAGAAATGAAGAAAATCACTTGATGTCAATTCTAAAGAAGAACACCTACCCACAAAACTTTATCACAAGAAGCCTAGCCAGTACATCATCGACCATAAAGTCATCGACAGAAATCAATACACGCATCACCCTGCTGTACATAAAACAATATATCAGAAATCACTATAGCTCATAAACCAACAAATTCCCTCCACACCCTATTATGCAGACTAAAGGATGCAACAATCAAAGAAGACAAATTGAATATCATTCACAAAATCAACACTACATTGGACAAAGTGGTCCCCTTCTTCGCCTTCCCCTTCGTCTACATGAACACCAATTGGCTATTAAACGTCATGACATTTATTCACGCATTTCAATCCACGTGGATAATTATGAACATGAATTCAATTTTTACAACGCAGAAACTTTGGACAGAGGAAACAAAAGAATATCAGAGAGTTCCTAGAGTCTTGGCATTCAGTTCAGTTAGTCAGCAATCATCAGATGTTAAGACATAGACTCAATCTATCAACCAATAAGAAAAATGATAAACAACAGAAAGGTCAGAGGTCAAGCAGAGGAACGGTCAACAGGAAAATCTATACAGTCAGTCAATAACACAACAATCAAAGGAAACAACCAATCACAAACCAGTTGGTTAGGTTAAGCTACTAAATCATTCACGGAGAGATATTGATAGGTCACTTCATAATGAAGACAACGAAAACTCTACAATTAAACACCCCAGGTCAGAGAACACATCCAAAAGTAGTTCAATGATATACAATTCTACCTTCTTTAAAAATTCACATACCAGGTAGTAAATTCTTTCAAACTTTATTTATTTTCAACTAGTATAATCAACGAGAAATTTTTCTTGAAAAAAAACTGTTCAATACATTTGTTTGTTTCATTTCAGTTGTTTTATGTTTCACATTTAATGTTAAAGGACACTGTTAGCATGAACGCTGGTTACTTGACAGAAGAGTTTATATGGTTTAGAGTGTAGAAGTCAAAATATTATGTGAAACAAGACTCCATACTGCCTTATTCTGACACACACACACACACACACACACACACACACACACACACACACACACTGAAATTGGCCAGGAGAAAAAATGCATGGTCGATATCCTAATATAAGTGAGATTTAGATAGAATCTGCGCAACCTTAAGAAATATGCTGAAATATTCATGTACGAAATATGATTCCCTACTCTACTGTAGTGTTTCTCAGGGAAAATAAATCAGGAAAATCAGATATCAGTTAGGAGTTGATGGACACAGAAATTCTTCTAACAAACATTGTAGTCTATTTAATACCTAGCAGTGGAATATATCACACACGTATACTCCTATTTCAGACTCGTTAGCTGGATGTACATGGATGTACGAGTGAGTGATTTTGTTCCGACTGAGACTTGAACGTAGTACCCATCGTTTCAAACACCAAACGTTATCC